GGGCCATCGCTGGGAGTGCCTTGCTTCCCCCTTGCTGGAAATGTTCCTGGGAAAAGGAGGAGCCGCTGCCCATCCTCATGCCCGCTTTGCTCCCGCGTCTGGGCTGGACGCAGGGGGCGGATGAATCTGCTGCAGACAAATGAACTGGGAAGGTTTTTCTCATCTGCTGCTCTGTGTCATCACCCTCACGGTTCTTCTTGCTGTGGCGTTAGTTTGTTCCTGCCATGCTCGCACGCTTGGAACTTCGTTGACAGCCCCTGGCGTCGCTCATGTGTTTCTGCTCTCTTGTGTGTCCCCAGAAACCTTGATGGATACCCGGACGGCGACGGCAGAGCTGGGCTGGACAGCGAACCCGCCTTCGGGGGTAAGTGGGACCTGCGAAGCTGCAGCCTGCCTTGACATTTGCAAGACCTTGACGGGTTGTGCTCCTCGAAGGGTTGATTCAGGGGGCTTGTTGGAAGCAAAGCGGTAGGCAGTGCTGGTGGCCTCCTCCATGCGGGCAGGGCCAGCCGGCGCAGGAAGGAGGTGCTGCCCCAAGCAGCCCTCCCTCTGGAATAACGGTGTGGATACTGTTCCGGGAGTCCTCGGCCCCACGAAAACCTTAATCGGTTGCCCCTTTGATGCCCAGCAATGATGCTAATGGGAGCAACTTTGACTTATTCTGGGAGGAGAAAGAGCAAAGATGACGCTGTTTCCTCCTAGGCTGTTCAGGTCTTTTGGGATATCTCTGTCCTTCAAGGGATGTAGTTTAACAAGTCGCATATGGTAGCAGAGAAAAAAGGTTCTTAATGGGGACAGGGGAGAGCAAGGTTGTCCCTTCCATTTTCCCTTGCCTCACAAGGAACCTTTGAAGAGTCAATGAATGAGATCCAAACGGGGAATATGAAGCGTAGCTGCTCCCTGCCCACCTCCCCAGGGGTCCAATCCCAGCCTACAGCGCAGCATGACAGGAAGAAATGCCAAGGAAGCCCTTCTCCTAAGGCACATCTGCATGGTTTTTTTTGATGCTGTGTAGATCATTAGAGCAGAGACGTGGAAAGCCACCGCTTCCTGAGAGCACGTGGAAGAAGTCCAGGCCAGGGCCAGTTAGGAATCACCTCCTGCTCTGAACTCTTGATTTGGTGCTTCCAAAGGCGTGAGGCAGTGAAGCCTTCCAACACCTTGGGGCTTGAAGCTGGAGGCACCAAAACCGCTTGGGAAACTCTTGAACAACCCCTCTCAGGCCAAGTGTTGATGAGGCCAGATGTGGTGCTAGCTGCTCCTCGCGTCCTGCTTCTTGGGTGGTGACAGTTGTCCTGTGCAGGCAGGGACACCCTCGTGGCAGCTACCTGCGCGCTCCGTCCCCGGGCTCTTGGGCGCTGCGGTCTCTGCTCTGTGCGACGCACCGCGCAGGACTGTGCATCTTCAGACTCCTGTGATCTGGCCCCGGTGCCTGGGGAAGACGGAGCTTCCTTCTGCGCAGCTAGGTCCCTGCACGCGCTCCTCCCCTCGCGCTTTGCCTTCCAGGTAGACGTTCAGCTAAGTCACTGTTCTCCATCCTCCCGCTCGCGCGTTCGCTCCCTTTCTGTACCAAAAGGCTTGTAATTAGGAGACATTAGCAGGCTCAAAACAGCTTTCATACCTGGAACATCATCCATAATTGCACTCAGCAGTGCTCTTCCCTGGCTATTAATGTCACTTTTATGAAGTAATGAGGAACAAAACACCCTGAGGCACTTAAAACATCTTTTTTATATAATACGAGTCTTTGAGGAATGGAAGCATAAAATAACCTGACTCACATTCCCCTGACAGAGAAAGTGATAGACAAAGACAGTAGCAGACGGGGGAGAAGATCAGTTGGAAAGGCGGGTGTGAGCTTAATAGATGGGCCTAACAGCTTGATGGGTAGTGGGTTGGGTAGCGATGGATGCAGCAGTAGGGGTGACGCTCAGGTGGGCCAGCGGTGGGTTCCAGAGATGGATGGCTCTGTTAAATCAGCAGAAATAAAGAGGTGGATAAATGCTGCGGAGGAAAATCTAGTCTAGTTTATTTAGTTAGGTGTATTATCTTGGTAGGCTCTTTCAGCGCGGAAGGTTCAGCCCCGTGGCTTGAAGTACGTGGTACCAGCTGAGAAAGGGTAGGAGACAGAGCCCTCCTTGGGGCTCGGTTGGCTTGGCAGGTTTTCTTGAGCTAACAGCTTCCAGGGAGTTACCCAAGCTGGGATAGTCATGGGATAGTCTAGCACTTAGGAGAAGCTCCTGCTCCAGCTTGGAGCTTGCTGGTTTGTGTTTATTGGTGATATGTGTGTATATACGGAATTAAAATAAAATACGTATTGCTTCCTCCGTCCCTGCACCGAGACAAACTTCTGTTTTACCAAAACAAAAATGTATCTTTAGGAAGCTCTCACGAGTGGTGTTACAGGGAGCAGGGGCTACCGAGGTCACCAGACCAGGCCCGGCCCAGGATGCTTCAGAGAAGGGCAGATAGCGACGGGTAATGACTGATACGGCCTTGCTGCCATCAGCGGGTGACGAGGGGAAGACCTGGCTGGCCACCGCGAGATGCTGCGTGACCCCCAGCCACGGGGAGGGGGGAGGGGAGGCCAGGGAGGCCGCAGAGGCAGGAGACAGCAGATAAGGAGCCAGCAGATGGGTGTGCTGGTAGATGCCCTAGCGAAAAGAAACGCGTAAAAAGGGGAAACGGAGTCAAAGAGAGGAGGAAGAAGAGCAGCTAGCGCATGGGCAAAGGGGATCACGACTACCTGATTGTGTGAGGATGCTGAATTAGTCCCTCGTGGCCCAGGATGGCGAGAGGGCGAGCTCGGCCGTGGGGACAAGCTCGCCCATCCTCATCGCTGCTTTGGTAAACATCGTGTAACAGCAAGGCCAACCTTGAGCTGTGATCTTTGCTTAAGCTTACGAGAGCTCAACAGCTAGACCCAGAAGCAAATATTGTGACTCATTTGCTGGCAGCGTGTACTGCGAGAGCGTCGCCTTTTGGAGGGGGGGAAAAAAAAAAAAAAAAACGGTTTTGGTTTTATTTACACCAGTGCTGCAGTTCACAAGACGAAAGCTCGGGGAGCAGGCGGTTTTTGGAGGGGAAGGAGGAGGACCGAGGTTGCAGCGTAGGCCGCGCAACCGGGGCCGGCTGTGCCCCCAGCGCCGGGGTGCCGACGCGCGCCAGCGTTTCTGTAGTGTCACGCCTAGAATTATGCAGGATATTCACAGCGCTGCTTAAAGACTTGCCATATGAATAATGCTGTTATGAGGAGACTGTAAACATGGATTAGTCGAAATGAATGGATTATGAGGTTGTAAATCTGTCGGTGGGACTCTAATGTCATCGTAGGCTATTCACAGTTTGCTGCTGTCCCTTAATTGAAATTGTAGCCAAGATTATATTAATGCCCTTCTATAAATCGAATTGCAAATCTATATTCTCTAGCTTGCAGCTGCAGTGTGGCTTTAGTTTTGGTTGATTTTATTTTATTTTATTTTTTTGCTCATGGAAGTGAGACTGCCCTTCCTCGCACCTGGGGTCCCTCAGGCCCTGCAGCCCTGGTGTTGACTTGGTCTTCATAGAGACACGGTCTCCTGTCGCAGCCTCACAGCATCTCGGGCCTCCATGGGCTCGTGGGCCACGCGCGTTCCCTCTGCCTCCCGCTCACAGCCTCTTTCTGCTCCTTTCTGCAGTGGGAAGAAGTGAGCGGCTACGACGAGAACCTGAACACCATCCGCACGTACCAGGTGTGCAATGTCTTCGAGCCGAACCAGAACAACTGGCTCCTCACCACGTTCATCAACCGGCGCGGCGCGCACCGCATCTACACGGAGATGCGCTTCACCGTGCGGGACTGCAGCAGCCTCCCCAACGTCCCCGGCTCCTGCAAGGAGACCTTCAACCTCTACTACTACGAGACGGACTCGGTCATTGCCACCAAGAAGTCGGCCTTCTGGACGGAGGCACCCTACCTCAAAGTGGACACTATTGCTGCCGACGAGAGCTTCTCCCAGGTGGACTTTGGGGGCCGGTTGATGAAGGTGAACACAGAAGTGAGAAGTTTTGGGCCCTTGACCCGCAATGGCTTTTACCTGGCTTTCCAGGACTACGGGGCTTGTATGTCTCTCTTGTCAGTCAGGGTCTTCTTCAAGAAGTGCCCTAGCGTGGTGCAGAACTTTGCCATCTTCCCAGAGACTATGACGGGCGCAGAAAGCACCTCGCTGGTGACTGCCCGGGGCACCTGCATCCCCAATGCCGAGGAAGTGGATGTGCCCATTAAACTGTACTGTAATGGTGACGGGGAATGGATGGTTCCCATCGGCCGCTGCACTTGTAAGGCTGGTTACGAGCCGGAGAACAACGTGGCTTGCAAAGGTAAGGTGGTCGCTTCCGCTGGCGTCTAAGGAACCATGGAGCTTTGGGAGGTCTTTATGGAGCACGTGTGTGTAGGCCACGTGTTGGCATTGGGAATGCTTGCCTGGAAGACCTCGGTGAGCAAG